CTTACCAAAAGGTAAAGAGAATCTTCATAATGAAGAATCTATATCAACTAATGGGCAAAATAGCCAGCTAGCATTAAATGACAATATTAAATATCAATATTAATCCTAAATTTAAATGGATTAAACACCCCAAAGACACAGACACGCAAACTGAATAAAAAGTCAAAACCCATCGGCACGCTGTATCCAGACCCATCTCATAAGCAAGGACACACAAAGACTCAAAACAAAAGGTTGGAGGAAGACTCACCAATCAAATGGAGAGCAAAAAAAAAAACAAAAAAAAAAAACAAAAAAAAAAACAAAACAAAACAAAACAGGAGTTGTAACTTTTGTCTAAGACAAGTCTTATAAAGAGACTTGGACTCCCGCACAATAATAGCGGGAGACTTTGACAACACATTGTTAATATTAGATGGATCAATGAGATAGAAAATTAACAGGGATATTTATGATTTAAACTCAGACATGGAACAAGTAAACTCACTGAATATTTATAGAATTCTTCACCCCAGGTCCACAGAACATATATTTTTTTCAGTATCACCTATTTTGAAAGTGACCACATAAATGGAAGTAAATCACTCTTCAGCATTTGCACAGCATTTTACAGACTTAAATGAAATATTGGTTGGCTGTTTGTTATTTTCTTCCCCTATTCCTTCCTGTCTACACTGTTAAGTACAATTATTGGCATAAAAGAGGTTTTTTTTTAGAATGCATTCCAGCCTGGGCAATAGAGCAAGACTCCTGTTCTCTCTCCCCCTTTTTCTTTCTCTTTCTTTCTTTAGGGAAAAAAAAAAACAAAAAAAAAAACAAAAACAAAAAAAAACAAGCTCAATATTAGGCCGTACCAAAAGCAAAAGACAAGAAAAAAAAAAAAAGAGAACCAATTACTATATATTAGAAAGCCAATAAGCAAGCCAAATTATATTAGGTAGCTGTATAGCTATATATTTAAGGCCAATATCTCTTTAAGAGATAATTTCATTAGTATTTATTTAAATTACTTTATATATTACAGTTAGCTGAAATAGCAATTCTGAGTTTAATAAAAAAAAGAAATTTGTTTTCAATGTTTAAAGTTTTTATTGTCAGTGTAAAGTTGCTATTGTCTGAGATTTTGATGTTAAAATGTTTTATAAAATGGTGGTGATACTGAATATATAATTTTAACATCCTTATACCTGGTAAAATAAGTTGGCACCTATATTGGTTCCCACAGTTTTCCCCAAAGGCTTTTTTTAGAGCAGTTTTAGGTTCATACAAAATTAAGGGAAAGCTACAGAGATTTCCCATTTACCCCCACACACGCCTAGCTTCTCCCTTATCAACATCTCCCACCAGAGTGGCACATTTGTGACAGCTGATAAACCCACACTGAGACACCTTTATTACCCTTACATGAGGGTTCACTCTTGATGGTATACATTCTGTGGGTTTGGACAAATTATAATGACATGTATCCACCATTATAGTATCATACCTATTAGTTTCACTGCCTTAAAAATCCTCTGTGCCCTGCCCCCAAATTTTACTATTTTGGTGAAATCCCAAAGTCTTAAGAAGTCACATTAGAAATATAAAGCTGCATTCTCACTGCAAAATTATAGAAACCATTTTCTAAATTCAATCAATCTGGACACCCCAATCCAATCAAACACCTGACATTTCTAACAGATCTAACATACACAGCTCTTACAATTCTTCTGAATTAGCTAACAAGCACTGACATTTTTGAGGTGGAAGAGGATTAGCTATTTTCCAGCAATCTGTACCAAGTTAGAAAAAAAAAAGTTCAAGCCTAGATCAAGCTGTCTCATATATGGATTTCAGTAAACATTTATTAGTATTATTTTTTATTTTTTGTTGAGACACGGTCTTGCTCTCCTGCCAGGCTGGAGTGCGGTGGCATGATCATAGCTCATTGCAGCCTTGAACTCCTGGGCTCAAGTGATCCTCCTGCCTTAGCCTCTGGAGTAGCTGGGACTGCATGCATACTCCACCACACCTGGCTAATTAAAAAAAAAATTTTTTTTTTGAGACATGGGATCTTGCTATGTTGGCCAGATTGGTCTCAAACTCCTGGGCTAAAATGGTCCTCCTGCCTCAGCTTCCCAAAGTGCTGGGACTACAGGTGGAAGCCACCATGCCTAGCTCAATAAACATTTTTTTAGCAAGCATACAAAATAGTTTATGTATCCTGTTCTATATGTTCAGTGAAGCCCTACTTGCTGATTTGGCAAATTCACCCACGACTGCATTAAAGGTCCACTTAAGGCAGGTTTGAAATAGTACTGTCCTAACCTAGTCAGCAAAAACACCAGAAATTCTTGGACAAAATGGCAGGAAGCAAGCCCATTTTGGGATTAAGCTTCAGGTACTATGCCTAAGGGTACAGGCCATGAGCTTTACTAGGTTTCTTCCTTTTAAGTATGAGGAATTACTCTGAAATAATTTAATAAGTTCACATATCCTGAATACCTCTAGTTTTGCCAATGAGAGCCACTTAGTATCTATTGTAATGATCAACAAGCTACGAATTTTCAAAAATATACTTCACACATTGACTCTGCTGATTATCACAATCTCTGGACGTAACTGAGATACAGACAGAAAAAGCACTTGAAACTGCTGCCTTTGGTCCTTCTGATTAGAACACTAGCTGTCCACTCCTGAGAAGGAAATCCTTGTTAGAGCTAATGACTGCTCCTGGGGTGCTTGTAACCTGACACTAGCAAAAAAGCAGCACCACCTACTCCAAAGAGAATGAAAGCAAATTACAAACATAATTCGGAAAAGAAAAAATACTACACACTCCAATTTCTCAGGACCCAATAGATTTTATTTCAGGTGGGGATAAGGGTCAAGCAGTGTGAAGACCGGGAAGGAGAGAAGGAAGTCTTTATGTTCTGAAAAATTCCCTACCCCAAACTGTTGAAAGTGCCACATTCTGCCCTTTTAGCAATTTTAACTAATTTTTGATAACACCACAGAAACCCTGTGGCTTCCTATTAAAATGAGTAGGTTACAAGCCTTTTTTTTTTTTTTTTTTGAGACAGAGTTTTGCTTTTGTTACCCAGGCTGGAGTGCAGTGGTGCGATCTTGGCTCACCACAACCTCTGCCTTCTGGGTTCAAATGATTCTCCTGCCTCAGCCTCTTGAGCAGCTGGGATTACAGGCATGTGCCACCATGCCAGGCTAACTTTGTATTTTTGGTAGAGACGCAGTTTCTCCATGTTGGTCAGGCCGATCTCAAACTCCCAACTTCATGTGATCCGTCTGTCTCGGCCTCCCAAAGTGCTGAGATTACAGGCGTGAGCCACTGCACCTGGCCTGTCTCTACTTTTAAAGTAAATAAATCAAAATAAATTTAAGAAAGATACACAAAACCAAAAGCATCTTTTGTGTCTATGTAAAACACCATGCAAATCTTTTTTTTTTTTTTGACACAGTCTTACTCTGCCACCCAGGCTGGAGCTTGTGATCCTCCCACCTCTCAGCCTCCTGAGTAGCTGGATCTACAGGCATATGCCACCACACCCAGCTAATTTTTTATTTTTTTGTACAGATGGGTTTTGCCATGTTGCCCAGGCTGGTCTCTGAGCTCCTGGGCTAAGAGATCCACCTGATTCGGTCTCCCAAAGTGCTGGGATTACAGACCCCCACCATCACACCTGGCTAATTTTTGTATTTTTAGTAGAGGCAGGGTTTCACCATATTGGCCAGGCCGATCTCAAACTGACTGCAGATGATCCACCCACCTCGGCCTCCCAAAGTGCTGGGATTACAGGTGTGAGCCACCACACCCGGCCTAAAATAATGGTTTTAAATGTGCAAAAATATCCATCCTTATTAAGTTGATTTATACTTGTTTTAAATTCTTTTTAGATTCAGCTTTTAAAAAAATAGATTAGGCTGGGTGGATTGCTTGAGCTCAGGAGTTCAAGAATAGCCTAGGCAACATAATGAAACCCCGTCTCTATAAAAAATACAAAAATTAGCAGGGCATGGTGGTGTGCACCTGTAGTCCCAGCTATTTGGGAAACTGAGATAAGAGAGATTGAGCCCAGGAGATTGAGGCGGCAGTGAACTGTGATCCTACAACTGGACTCCAGCCTGGGCAACAGAGCAAGACCTTATTTCCAAAAATAAAAATAAACCTTAGATCAAAATAAATTTAGAGCTAAATAAGAATTAAATAGTGACTAATAAGATGCTAACAGAAAATCTGAAATTGGAGATTCTTTCATCTAACAAAGTTACTAAATACCAATTATATTAGACACTGTTCTTTGTTCACACTAGTGAACAAAAGACAAAAAATAACTATGCTATTTCACATTTAATGGTCCTTCGAATGTTGACTGATTAGATATTAAGTATGTTTTAGGTTTGTTCTGTTCTTGGTGTTCATCTCAACAAAAAATATTTTGACAACATTTAGTAAATTCATCTGTTTCCCACTTGAATACATATATTTTATGAAATTCCAACTTTTTTTGTAGTTGCTAGGCATGCTGAGATTGAGAGATTTACTAGTTGTCAGGTGCTGACCGTGGCCACCTCCCAGCGCTGTCCATGTGCCTGGGAAGCAGTGCCTGCCATTGCACTGGAGCGGCCTCCTTGCAGCACACCGTGCAATACTCTCCAAACCAATTTGCTCTAATGCTATGTGACCTATTTTAAGGTAGGCATTCCAGTATATCCTCAAATTTTGGTGAGTGTCATTGAACAGTTCTCAACAATGAATAGTTTGGCACACTTTTATTTGGGGGGAGGTAGTGGTCACAATGACCATCAGTGGGTAAGGGTCAGAAAGGCTAAGTGAATCCTGCAATGGGATGACAGTTTTTTATCCTAAAGAACTGTCCCACCCAAAAGGCTAATAGTGTCTGTCTGTGGAGAGACACTGAGCTGTTGTCACCTGGTACAGTAACAAAGACAGAAGCTTCACTTTACTCATGTACTTTTTTTCTACTAGAAAATAAGTCAGATAATTTTAGTGTTGTATTTTATCAAATATAAAAATATTTATATGCCACAAAAATTATTTTAGTGACAACTACCAGAAAAGTACAAAATCCCTTATAACTGTGTTTTTACACCTTGATTTGTCAAGAAACTCAGAGGCAAATGCAAAGTATCTAATAAGTACTTACTGCAGTGAACAGTTTTGAGAACAAGAAGAAAACCTGTAACTCTGAAAACTGTTTTATATCCCATTCATAGATCTCTTCAAAAGTCTACTATAAAAATGAATCACATAAAGAATTTTTCAGACTTGTTTGGTGATGCAACTTCAGAACATTTGCAAGGAAATGACATGTAAAAGCAATCACTTCAATTTTTTTTTTTTAAAGTTTCCTTTAAAACAGTGGTTCCCAAAATTTAGCATGCAACAGCATCTCCTGAGGGAAGCCTTTTAAAATACAGAATGCTGGCTTCCTCCCCAGAGTTTGCTACAAGTTTGCAGTCAGTTCTGATGTTGGAGCAGGCACAATACTTTGAGAACCACTGCTTTAAGATCTAGTCTCTAGAAGTCAAACTAAGAAGCAATGCCCATATGCCTTTCCTTATTCTAATAGTAAATAAATAAAAGAATATTTTAGGTATCTGCATCAAACTTTCAGTCTTTAGATTCTTGGAAAGTTCTAATGAAATAAAACATTATTTCTCATGGCTCACAATTATTCTCATGAATTCAGAAAGAACTACAGGGGAGTCCTGAATAATCTATGACTACATGAAAACATTTATTTACGTGCCCTCTACAAGCTATTTACAAAACACATAGTAATGATTGGGGTACACAACCTTGCTCCTATCTTCCCCATGCTTCTTCTCTATAGAAAATCCAATATGAAATTATAAAGAGTATTGTACTCAGAATAAGAACTTCATTTATGTACACATAAGTATCAATGAATTGTCATATTCAAGATTCAGATTCAGGAACTTCTTCATCAGGGCAGCAGTAATATTCTACAAAACATATTTGTCCATCTTCATTTCTAATCATATACTGCAATGAAAGGAAGCCTCTGTTATCTGTCCGAATAGATACCTTACAAGATAGGACTAATGCCTTTGTAGAGGGTTTCAGTAAGGAAATCTTGTATCTGTAGAAGAATAAATAAAAAGCTGTTATATCAACACAGTTAACATTGCTCAGAGCTCCAAGTAAAGGACAAAAAGTAGCAAATCTAAGAATAAAATCAAGTACTTACCCAATTTGCTAATATTTTCTCTTTTTTTAAAATTCATCCACTGTTAGCATCCTACATCCCCTAATAAGTCCAGCACTCTACTGTTCACGTTTATAAAATGCTGTCCATTTTTATTAACAGACAAAGTGGGTTTTTTTTTTTTTTTTTTGAAATGGAGTCTCACTCTGTTGCCCATATGATCTCGGCTCATTGCAACCTCTACCTCCCAGGTTCAAGCAAGTCTCCTGTCTCAGCCTCCCGAGTAGCTGGGACTACAGGTATCCGCCACCCCACCATGCCCAGCTAATTTTTGTATTTTTAGTAGACACAGGGTTTCACCATATTATTGGTCACGTTGGTCTTGAACTCCTGACCTCAGGTGATCCGTCCCCCCTTGGCCTCCCAAAGTGCTGGGATTACAGGTGTGAGCCACTGTGCCCATCTGAGTGTTTTTATTTAACAGAAATCTGGTATTTAGCCTCATCTTTATCACCAATGGCAACCTCTATATTAAGGACTGACCTGTTGACTTGGGTCTGATTACAATGAAATGCTTCCATCAAATCAGAATCTTTGGGATAGTCAAGGTGGGAGCTTCCTGCATTTCCAAAAGTAGATAACCTATAGAAAATGATTACTTAATTTATTCATTGGTCCAGAAATAAACCACATTAAGATCCAAATAAGCTAAACACTTCCTTAAGAAATTCATACTAGTGGGTGAAACAGACATGTACACAAATGGTTACAATACAGGATAACAAGTACTATAATAAAGCTCCCACAGGATGCTGTGGGAGTTCAGGGCGACCAGCAACTAATCAACAACTTTGAAGAAAATTAATTGTAAAAGGAAAAGGGCAGGGCACAGCTTTAATTTCATTACCCTAATCCTATTCTGAAAGTAGATTTTCCTCATCCTTAAGTCAGAAATACATAATAGGAGAGAGAATAGAGGACTGATGGATGACCTTGATCTAAGTTAACTGCAAACCTTAGGTTCTGTTCCCAATCCTATACCAAGCAGTTACAGCTTTTCTGTATCTTAGATTGCTCTTAAGGTTATTTCATGGTTTTCCTCACTAGATAATACCAGAAGTTATGTGTAAACAACTTATAAATGTTAATGCGCTGATTTCATCTGCTAGACTGGAGCACTTCCTGCAGTTGCTAAGTATTACATGAGCATAGTGATATGACCCAGGTGTTGGTTTTCCCTAAGCTCCATTTCTACCCTCCATCTTCCAGGTGCTGTTTTTCCCCGGGTCCATCTTTTCTTTCTAATATAATTGCTCTCTCTGACCCATCTCATCTATGCCCAGCCATGATGATGGTTCCCAAATCTAAATTCCCAGTCTAGATGGATCTCCTGAGCACCATAACCATATATTGAGCTATTCCCTAGTGTCACAGGTACTTAAAATTTAACATATCAAGAAAAAAAATTTCAACTCCAAAGTCCCTACCACCAAATTGTTTCCTATCTTGGAGATGAAAGATACCATGACCCATCTAGTTACCCAGGCTGAGAGAGATCACTGAGAAAGAGATCCTCTGAAATATTGTTTAAGTACCTGAATTTTTCACTTCATCCACTGCTAAAGTAGGGTTTCCAATTTCCATTTTGGTTAATACTTTGTCAGACCATGAGCCAAATTTTTAACTGCCCAAAGTCATGAGAAGGACCTGTAATTCTTTTTCTTTTCTTTTTTTTTTTTGAGAGTCTTGCTCTGTCACCTAGGCTGGAGTGCAGTGGTGCAATTTCGGCTCACTGCAACCTTTGTCTCCTGGATTCAAGTGATTCTCCCGCTTCAGCCTCCTGAGTAGCTGGAATTACAGGCACCAGCCACCACACTCAGCTAATTTTTCTATTTTCAGTAGATACAGGGTCTCACCATGTTGGCCAGGCTGGTCTTGAACTCCTGACCTCAAGTGATCCACCCACCTTGGCCTCCCAAAGTGCTGGGATTACAGGTGTGACCCACCGCACCCAGCTGGGCCTATAATTTTTCTAAAGTAGTTACAAAAAGAATACTTTATACCTTTTATTCCATATGTATTTAGTGCCTTTATTTAATATTCTGAAATATTTCAAAAGAGAATATTTAGATCCTCTTGCTAGAATGTCTAAACTGAGTCTAATCCTGGAAAGAGACTTGTGTTAAAGTATCAGAAGCAGCTTTTTTGACATCATCTTCCTGCTGAAAACTGCCCTCCCTTTGGAAGTGAGCATTGAGCTATCTTTGCTAGATCTTTTTTCAGTGTTTCCCAGGGATCTCTGTGTACTATCTTGGTACTTAATGGTTTGCTGTTTCACATATCTTGGCTTCACCTTAATTTTAAGTTGTTCTTCCCACAATGTTCAATAAGATGAATAAGCACATGGTAGGTGATCAACAGATACTTAGTGAGTGAATGAACCACGTGTAGAAAACATGTTCTGCATCCTGAACTAACCTGAAAAAGATACCATATAATACAAACACCCTTTCCAAACACTTAAACCCGATTTTCCTCACGATGTAACCTGATATATGACAGTAAGTAGTAGTATAATGAAAACACCACTAGTTTAGAAATTAGGGGACTGGGCTTCTCATCTAGATGCCAACACCATCTAAATATGAAATAGTGAGTTAATCTTTCTGGGTCTTAAGTTGCTTGATCCATAAAATTATGAGTAAGAGTACAAGCTGTTTAAAGTTGTGAAAGCTCTAAAAATGTGGATAATAAAAATTTTGCATCCTAAGCAAATGTCTAGAGGGAAGATGGAGTACAGACCCCATGAACTATAACTGCACTGCTCTCAAGTACCTGAAATAAGGCTTGTCAGGAGACATCGTAATTTGTAAGACTTCACTCGTCATATCCAATTCAGAAAATGCTTCACGGAGCCCCTCTGACTGCAGAATAATTTTATTAATAACATTGGTGCTGCAGAAGTCAAAGTCCAGGGTCTCCTCAGGTTCCTGCGTATTGATTTTGCAGACTGTCACCACACCTCCTTCTTCTAGGAACAGCATCAAAGGGTAACCATAACCTTGGTAACACATCCGAAGAGCAGTTAAAGTCCCTGCAATGGAAAGAAATCATACTTGGCCTTAGCTTTATAGCTCTGGGTTCAGCTTCTCCTCAAAATGATATAAAATTTCTCAAGAATAATTCATTCCACTCAATTTCTTGCATATATGTATTTCCTCATAAAAAGGGATTACATCTTCTCTGATGACAGTTGTGTGTAGACAATTCCAAACATACAAGACAATTGGGAACCAGAACAAAATGTAACATAACTCTCTGGTATCATTTTCAGGTTGTCATAAATACCTCAGAAATAGCTTGATTTTATATACATAAAATTTCAGGATAGAGAATCTACATGGATCAACACAGCAAGTAACCAAATTGCTGCAGAACAGAGTATGCTATTTCTTGAAGGTTCAATATGTTAACAGTGGACTGCTATGTGTACTGTAATGTCAGTGTATTCACTCTTATAGGGATTCTTCCAACTTTTCCAACTCAGATATTCTTTGTATTTCCTCAAATTTCAAAATCAAATTGAGACAAAAAGAGGGTTGTTAATAGTGGTGTAAATTTTAACACTGCAAACCATTCAGGGAAGGAGGAAAGTGACAGGATATTCAAACTCCTCCTTACTGCATGGAGAGCCACAGTGAGGAATGGAAGATGACAGATTCTTTTATGAAAAACCAGCTGGAGAATACTGTATTAGAAAATGTATAGTTAATAACAGTGGAATTGTCGGTAGAAAATTAAAATACATTTTTCTGGAGAACTATATTGAATTTTTCCTAATCTCCAGGTTGCTTTCCTATGAAATAAAATCATTCTTCTGGGGATTCCTTACAGTTTTAGATCCAGAGCAACTGAATTTCACCATTCTTAAAAATAATTCCCTTAAGAAAAAAATGTATGTTTTAAAGAAAATCATTTGGCAAAATAGACATAACTTATAAAATATGGCTTGAAAGAAACAAATTTTGAACACAGTACAAACTAGGAGTCAGTAGAGCTGGCTTCTGTTTTTCCCTGCCGTTAACTAGCTGAGTAATTCTGGACAAGTTAGGGAAAAGAAGCAATTACATTTCACAATGTTAAAGATATTTAAGACATGCCCAAAGTATTCTTTTGTCCAGTTCAAATTTAAAATCCCTCAAAGCCTTGTAAATTAAAAAAAGAAGAATGTAAATACTTTTACAAATGAAAAGAACTATTAAACACACTTGCAATTAACATTGGGAAAAGTTAGAACCCATGACTGTTGCCAATGAAAAATGAATTGGCAATAACTTTCTGAACAAATGTTTATATTCCAAATAACTTCCTGAATTTTTCTGACCATTGTATATCACACTTTTATGTCCTTCTACTGATAATAGTTTACCTGGCATAGGACTTGATCCAAAAATAGATAAACAGTCTAAAAGGACAGTTAAATTAATTCGAAACGTAACAGATTCTTCCTGAACTTTAAACTCCTGAAATATTCCAGCCTATGAAAAAAGTAAAAATGAAAATGGTTACATAAAAGAATGAAAACTAACATATAAGGTCCTAGATTTCACTTTATATGTTTAAAAAATACAATACTGTGCTAATCCCATGAGAATAATTTCTCATTAGCAATCAAAACATCTTAGAGACATCCTTGTGAAGCATCCTCATCTCCATTCCTGGATCTAAAACTATCCCTCTGTGACTATCCCTTGTCTCATTTTTGTGCCTATCACTACTGCTAAGGTCACTTGGAAAATACACAAATGACTTGGTAATGCATGAGCAGTATCAGTTTCAACTTTTATTATTTTTTATTGATATGGGGGTCTCACTATGGTTGCCCAGGCTGGAGCGATCTTCCCACCTCTGCCTCAGCCTTCTGAGCAGCAGGGAATACAGGTGTGAACCACTATATCATGCCCTGCATGAGGACAAGAACCATGTCTTATTTACCTTTCTATCCCTGAGGTCATGCTGTGCACTTAGGTGTTAAAAAATGCTTAGTTGAATTTGCAATCCTATCTTAACCATACAAATATTACTTTGGAAGAATAAAAATTCTATTACAGCCAGTAAAAGGAAAAAATACTCTTTAGTAATAGCAAGGTGGTAGTATCGCAGTGGTAAAGAGCATATATTCTGGAAACAAATGTTCAGGGTTCTTATCCCAATTCAGCCACTTAACAGCTGTGGGGCTGCTGGCAAATCACGTAAATTGTGCCTCGTTTCCACATATACAAAATGGGAATAATAAGAGAACCTACCTTACAGGACTATTGTTAAGATTAAATAAATTAAATACTAAGAGGAGTGCCTAGCCAATAGTCTAGCTTTTTAGTCGTTACTAACCATTATCTCTGCAAAACAAGATGGAAAAAGAATTTGTTATCAGGAGAGAAAAAAAATTCAAGTAATGATGTTTTGTTCTCTGACTTAAGACGATAAAGTTATTTATTCATATATTATTTATTTACGACTATTGACTATATTTATTGTCTACTAAAACCTTCAGATTTCATTAAATTGCATTTAGAATATCTATGGCACAGGCTTAAAGGCGCCTATTTCCATACCTGAATAAAAGCATTTGCTTGCACACACTTTGCATTTTCCACTGTTACTTTGATTCCATTTTTAGTTGCAAAACACGTGGCATGTTCTCGGAAATGAATAGCTTTCAAGATAGTGGAGAGATTCCTAACGTTGTCAAGGCTGGCCACAAGGCTGTACTGATCATCCTCGTCTTGGATCTGTTGGGTCAGAAGGGGCATTGTCCGCTGCACATTCGGCCCCGAGGGATGCTTCTGGGGCCAACACCTGCTCCCGCGGATCGCCAAATACCTGAAGGGATTGGACAATAAAACTCCCATCAGGGCTGGCGAGGTCTGGCGAGCTCCACCTGCGCTGAGAAATGGAAGGGGGCTGGGCAGCTGAACTTGACTGACAAGGCCGAACCCCACCAATGCCACTTAACTGTCTTTGTAACTCTGGGAGAAAATTATCTAAGCTACGGTTTCCTCATCTCCGTAAGGGGACAATAACTTGAAAAGTTGTGAAGAATGAAGACACGCAACTGACACGGTATCTCCGCTTGGGGCCAGCTTATCCCGGCCAAACAGGAGCTACGAACCCGCACTGAGTCACTTTTGTGTCGCCCGCGCCACAAGCCTCGCCTCCAGCGCAACAGGCGATGGGGGGAGGGCTCGGAGTGCCCAGAAGATCCCCCAAGAGACCCAGACAAACTCATTCATCAGCTCGCCCGCTGGACAGCATCACTTACTACTCTCAGTCCTGACACCCTACCTTTGCAGTGGGGTCTGGACGCCCGAGAGCCCTTCCTGGCAAAGTCCCTGAGAGGTAGCAAGACGGCTCAGAAAAACCGCGGAGGAAGGGAAGCGGGTCCCTACACTTTTCAGCTCGGCCCTCCACCTCAGCCACCGTCACCACAGAGCTGAATGCAGCCTAGAGAGCCAAGCATGCAGCGCCTTCAAGACCGGAAACAGGCAGGCACCACAGAGCTGGAGGACTATCGCTGAACCGAGCGCTTAGAGCCGCCGAACCATAGAGATCGGAAAAAGGAGCGAGCGGCCACACCGGAAAGAAGGCCAAGAGCGCAGGAGGCTAGACAAGATGGCAGCAACCAAGAGGAAACGGCGTGGAGGCTTGGCAGTTCAGGCGAAGAAGCCAAAAAGAAACGAAAAAGATGCCAAACCGCCAGCTAAGCCTCGCGCCACTGCAGAGGAGGTGGAGGAAGAAGAGAGAAACCGGATCCCAGGCCCCGTTTGCAAGGTAGAAGGGTTACACCTGCAGCGTCGGCTCTGTGCGTCTTTTCTGGGGTTACTTGATTACAGCTCTGCTAGTTTTCGAGTAGCTAGGGTGTTAACGGTAGGTCGGTTTTAGCAATTCTCCCGGCCAGACTGGGCACGGAGTTTACAGCTAATTTTTGTGCACGTGGCCGCCCTCCTGGAGGCGGCGAGTTTTAGAACCTTAGTCGGCCCACGCGGAAGCGACTGACAGGGTGCTCAGATCCAGCGTTGTCTTCCTAGTAGTTCAATTTTTTTTTGGAGGGTAGTGCTTTTCCTTGGTTATTTCTCGCTATTGAGTATTTCTTCCGGTGATTAGTATTCCCATATACTGCCGAAGTCAGCTACTCAGGCAGGGATCCTGAAGCTTGTTAGGTGAGCCTTTAAAAAGTTGTTGCCCTTGGGACTGTGAGTTGTTAACCAGGTCTTTAACTCAAGAGATAATGAAAGATAGTCCAGATACTTTGAGCTTTACTTGTATTCAACAGACACTGAATGTGCCATGCATTGTTCCAAGTTAGGCACCCTTTGGCAAAGATTGCAAAGGTGACTAGAAAGTGACCTCTTCCTCCTGAAATGTTGGAGTTCAGGAGGAAACTTAAGTGAAAGAAGTTGATGGTTTTTATTCAAAAGAAGTGCACACCAGTTGTTTCAGTTAACTTTCATTCAACTAAGAACTATTCTTAAGCTACACAGTATACTGTGGAGACAAGGATTATCTTTGACATTAATTTCTCTGTCCTCCTCACTTAGCATAGTACTCTAGTAGGGAGTAGGTGATAAGTAAATGACTTCATGTGGTGTGATGATGAGCTCTGAGAAATGAAAGTTAAGTGTAAATTCTAGGATCGTTATTAATAGCAACATTCTGTGCTCTTTTCTGACCTGCAGATCAGGTGGGGGTGGGGGGCGGCGGGGGATTATTTACTTTTTATGAAAAATAAGCTGGACTTGTACACTTTCAATAAATGTTAGTGCTCTCTTCAATTAAGGCGCTAGTTTCTATAATCTGAGCCACACTTTAAATACATTCTGTGGAAATGCAGGAGATTGAGATTACTTTTACCCTAGTATAATAAGATAAAGAATCTTGAAGGATTTAGATTTAGCCTTTAAGCTGCATATCAGGGGAACAGTAGAATTTTGACATTCAAAAATGAGAGGGAACACTCTAAGGGAGAGAAAAAAGAACTGATGAAAGACTTTGAAATAGGGAAATGCTGAAAAATGTAAAAAATAGAACCAGATTGGATTGCATTAGGCTTCATTTAGGGCAATAATGATGTAAAAATGAAAATTTATTTTACAATTCAGTGTCAAAGCTATGTATTTCAGACTTTGTTTAGAAAACTGCGAAGTAAGGATGTGATAGAAGTATTACTTTAAAAAGTAAGCTGTTGAAAAAGCTAGTCAGCTATATCTATTGGAGGAGCTCACCTCTGGGATGGTTAGTCATTTAGGAGTTTTGTGGTTAATATAAGACACTAAATAAGTGCAGTGTGAATAAGAAAGGATTAAGAATTGTTGAAAAGAGAAATTGATAGCATTTTATAGTGCTTATGATGATATGGGAGAAAAAGGGCAAATCGAAGATTCAAAGCCTGAGGGACTGAAGTGACAGCATCCAAAAAAAAGGAAAAGAAAGAAAATGAAATAGCAAGGAAATACACCAGATTTAAGGTCTAAGATAATGTTTAGTATTGTAGAGTTGAGTTTGAGGTGTTAATGAAATACTTGAATTATTAGGGCTAGAGAGAGTTCCTTTCTGTAGAGTGGACAACAATTAACGTTGTGGGAAGTTATTATGAGACCTGCCATAGAGAGCACAGAAAAGAGAGGGCTAAGCAAGAGCCTTAAGGGTTAGGAAATTGGAGAAACTGAAGATGAAAAACAAGACAGAAACCAAGGAGGGCATTTCTGGGTGGCAGATGTGGTCAGTGAATGTTGCTGAGAGATGAAATTAAAAGAGTCAGGATGGTTTGACTTGCTACCTGGAAGCTCTTAAAAAACAGGGCCAGGTGTGGTGGCCCTCACCTATAATCCCAGCACTTTGGAGGCCAAGCTGCTTGAGCCCAGCAGTTGGGGACCAGCCTGGGCAACACAGGGAGACCCCGTCTTTACAAAAAAATAAAATTAGCTGGGCATGATGGGACATGCCTGTAATCTGCAGCTACTGCGGATGCTGAGGTGGGAGGATAACTTGAGCCCAGGAATGTGAAACTGCAGTGAGCTGTGAGCCTGCAGCACAGCACTTCAGCCTGGGCAACAGCGTGAGACCCTCTCTCAAAAACAAGGTCAGTTCAATATGATATTTTAAAATCTTTTAACATTTTCTCTTTCTTTAGGGCAAGTGGAAAAATAAGGAACGAATTCTCATCTTTTCTTCCAGAGGAATAAATTTCAGAACAAGACATTTAATGCAGGACTTGAGAAGGTTGATGCCTCATTCTAAAGCAGGTACCTTTATATCATATACTTTAGAAATTTCTATCTATAAACTTACCTATTTATATGTTTATATTTATTTTATATATTCTTCATTTGTTCAGTCTTTTCAGTAAAAAAAACACAGTACCTTTTATCCTTTCAAGTGCCACAATTTTTCCAGTTAACATTTTGTTAGAAATTCTTTAGACTTCATTAAGTAGTTTCTTTACTTTTAAAAACAGATATCCTAATATTGTTGAAACATTTCTTGAAGGTCCAGGAATGCCTTTATTGTAATGCTCCTAAAGATCATGACATAGGTGGGATAGTTTGTCCTAAATGATTCAGGAGTACCGTGTATTACGTTTTAAGCCTTTATTTATTTATTTATTTTTAAACTTTTTTATTGAAAAATGGATGTCGGATAGAATTTGAAGCACCTTTTAAGTTGAAGTCAGAGCCTATTTCTAAATGCCAAGTTATTTATTTATTTTTAAGCAATGGGTTATTTTACAGGCACAAACAGTATGGCCGGGCATGGTGACTCATTGCCTGTAATCTCAGCATTTTGGGAGGCCGAGGTGGGTGGAACACTTAAATTCAGGATTCCAGACCATCCTGGGCAACCTGGTGAAACCCTGTATCTACAAAATAAAAAAATGAAAAAAGTAAAGTAGCCAGGTGTGGAGGCCACCCACCTACAGCCCCAGCTACTCAGGAGTCTAAAGCAGGAGGATTACTTGAACCAGGAGGTCATGGCTGCCATGAGCCATGATCATGCCACTACACTTCAGCATGGGCGATGAGCAAGACCCCGTCTTAAAAAAAAATAAAAAGTTTATAACAGTGGAGTGGCCACGCCCTCACATGGCTGTTGTGCTTATGTTGAGAGGTGCTTTGTTTTTTTGTTTGTTTTTTTGTTTTTTTAATTTTTAAATTCAGGGAGTATATGTGCAGGTTTGTTACATGGAGAGTCAGTTTTCTTTGACACCTGTGATTAAAAAGTGAAAGATATTTTCAGTGAAACTGGTTTCCTTTAACGTAGTCTTTGGTTTGTGAGAATTTTTCCATTTTTTAAAAGGTTTCCTAGAATACCTAAAGACTGAGAAACACTGCTGAAACTATATAATTCTTGCAGACTATTTTTTTTTACTTATTTTCTCTACAGTTACAAAGAACCAAGATTTTTAAAGTGATTGTTTTCAGGTTTTGTTTTGAAAATTAATGATAAAAATCTCCTTTTAACTAAAGAGTGTAAAAACAGTTTCTAGATAGCATATGGGATTTGATTGAAGTAACTTTGAATTCACTTTTAATTTACTTGCTTTTTCTTTTTTTTTCTAGATACTAAAATGGATCGTAAGGATAAGCTATTTGTGATTAACGAGGTAATTTTGGAAAGTAATTGCAATAAAATATTTTAGAAACACTAACAATTGCTTATTTCAAAAATAAGTTATTCAGTGACTTTAAAAATTGTTTTGTAAAAGCTGTTCAGACACATTTTATTATCTCTTCAATAACTGGTCTTTCAAATTTTTATATCTCACAGTTTAGTGCTTCACACATTTCTGTTTGTCTTGTTTGAACAAGCATATTGAAATTTCCTCAGGACAATGATTGTATCTCATTTTTTAATCCCGTAGTGTCTAGTATTATGCCACATCTCGAGTAGATACTCAAAAAATTATCAGTCAACATATGTAAAGTAAAATAAAAAGTCCATTAAACATATATATATGAAAACCCACATGGTAAAACGCATTTTGCCAGTATTAAAAGTGATTCATGTGGAATTGGCACTTAAGCTATTACAAACTAGGAATAGGTTACATTTTCAAAGTTTTTTTAAATATATTACACTTACGTATTTTTTTTAAGCTCTAGAAGCACAGCACATAAATTTACATTTTAAAGCAAAATTTTCAAAACTTAGAAGAATTAAGATCGTTTTTTCACTATTAGCATTCTTTAGAGCACAAACTTTAGAACCTCTGCTATAATATCACACTATTCTATGTGCTATAAAAACTGTTTAACAGAGCAATGTTCCTGTCATTACGGAACTTACATTCAAATGGAGACAGGCCATAAACAAGGTTTATAATTTCAAGTAAAGATAGGAGAAATAAAGCAGGTTATAGGTTTTCGACAGCTCAGTCTAGAGCGGAAAAACATTTTCAAAGGGATGATGTTTAACTTAATATAGAGAAAATGGCAACTACAAAGACCCAGAAGTGGCACAAACTTCCCATTTTTATGTTTATCTAAGACAAGTAAGAAACAAAAGCATTGGACCTAAGATTCTTTTTTTTTTTTTTTTTTTTTTTGGAGACGGAGTTTCGCTCTTGTTAGCCAGGCTGAAGTGCAATGGCGCAATCTCGGCTCGCCGCAACCTCCGCCTCCTGGGTTCAGGCAATTCTCCTGCCTCAGCCTCCTGAGTACCTGGGACTACAGGCATGTGCCACCATGCCCAGCTAATTTTTTGTAGTTTTAGTAGAGACGGGGTTTCACCATGTTGACCAGGATGGTCTTGATCTCGATCTCTTGACCTTGTGATCCACCCGCCTCGGCCTCCCAAAGTGCTGGGATTACAGGCTTGAGCCACCGTGCCCGGCCAGATTCTTTTTTAAGTTGTTAGGGTTTATTTGTTTGTTTTAAATTTTTTTGGAGACAGTGTCACTGTGCCACCCAGGCTTGAGTGAAGTGGTGTGATCTCAGCTCACTGCAACCTCTGCCTCCTGGGTTGAAGTAATTCTCCTGCCTCAGACTCCCTAGTAGCTGGGACTACAGGCACATGCCATTATGCCCAGTTAACTTTTTGTATTTTTAGTAGAGACAGGGCTTTGCCTTATTACCCAGGCTGGTCTCCAGCTCCTGAGCTTAGGCAGTTTACCTGCCTCAGCCTCCCTAAGTGCTGGGAGTACGGCCATGAGCCACCTCATCCAGCCGTAAGTTGTTAGGTTTAAAGTCTGAAATATGGAGTTCATGAGTATTATATTATTTAGAGTTTATGAATACTATAGCAATAAAAGACTTCACTCCTGTAATGTTTTTGTATATTTCTCAAGTGTGACTTTTGTAAACCTTCAGGACATTGAAGTTTAATTTGAAATAGGTTTTATATAGACGTTTTACCCAAGCTCTTAGTGATTTTATAGAACCAAATCACCAGAAATGGTAGTATAAATGAAGAACAGCTTAAGTTTTGTGATCTTAAAATCAAAAAGCTAAAAAGTTAAAAATCTAAATAATCTTTAAAAAGGATGTTTTTAGTTCTATAAGGATCTGGATTTTCATAAGATCGGCTAAGAAGATTGATTATGAAGGATTAGCATAAGAAGATTAATTGTGGTATGCCTTATCCCTAGGGCAACTATTTTCAGTCTTT